GGAAAAAGTCAGATGACATGAGAGCCTTTATTCCTTAATTACCGGTTGTAAATTTGCGACATACCTCATTATAAGGAATCCACTCATATGGTTCCGTTCCATCTGCACGTTTCACTCGGCGACCAAGCATTGGACCATTGTTAGAAACTCGGGCTCCTCTTCGTACTCCTTCGTATAATGTGCGCACATCCTCGTACACATATGACATGAGCTTGCCATCCTTGAGATAAGCAGTGACCCGCGAGCCATCCTTAACCACACAGGATTAGGAGTTTATCTTCAAGTTTTATGACGAGCGATGGCCCGCAGTAAAGTCGGCAGCACAGCGACCTTCGCACTTTAGTTTTCAATCCTCCTAAAATGGTATCTCCTGGCAGTGTGAATCACTTGTTTTTGGCAAAGGTGTCTATAATCATCAATTATCCTGGTACACAATACAGGCGTTTACTAAAGCTACATTAGCAATAGTGTGACCTGTTGCAACTAAAAATGAGTGTAATGTTGAAAGATCAGACAACTCCCCCGCTTGGGAAGTGGATCCTACCATTTTTTACATCAGCAGGCGAGTTAGAAAAATATGATCGTTGATCATTTTCCACACAATAATGCCCGAGAAAACATTGGGGAATTATTTCATAAATCTTTATAGAAAATCTAGGAGACGGATTCGCTTGCTGAACATCGGTCCACAGTGAGTCTCTCCATGTAACATCAAGAGAAAAATGAAAGACCTAGCCGTACAAAACTTAATCAACTAGTAATACGTGAAGCCGTGCTCGTGCTCACCGTTTTCGGAAAAACTGAGAGTTCGTGAAGTGAAGAGGGTCCGGATGGATCACATGACCATCAATTGGGATCCGCTCCTTTACCAGCATTGTGAGATGGTTGATGATAATTTTAATAAATTACCATCATTGCCTTCACTAATTCTGCAGCTGAGCAGAGCCAAAACGACAAGTACGAGTCTGAACCCTTTCTCGGTTTTCCAAGTTGATGCGCTCCCCACCTCCTCGCGGAATCGTCGACTCATCTGCTCAGCGCTCGGTATGGACGCAGCATAACGGCCCCGAAGTTCACGCATTATCAGAGGATTTCTGAGTTTAGCTATAATGGAAGTCTTTCTTGCGATCAAGTATAACTCTTCCAAGTCGGTTGTTCCAATGACGACGATTCGCCTTTATGTCCTTCTTCGGGTCGGCTTTTTCCGTAAGGATGGTGGGGGTTGAAATGGGTTCGCCAGTGTTCGCTAGCTTCAGAGATCGCAAAATCAAATTAAATTTGCGTCCGATATTCGGTAGCTTCTAGGAGCTTCCACCAAATCCGCCAGAGTGAGTGGAACACTATCTTCTCAACCAGTTTCTCTTATGTACACCCCACGCAACCGCTTTCCTGAGTATCCAGATGCTTTCCTGTGCTCTGCTTATGACTTTATCCTTGTGGAGCAGCTGCAAGTGTACTAGACGTACTAGGTAGTAGAGATAGGGCGCTATCGTACAAACACTGTACTAGATTGATAACCTAATACCTACCGGCTTCCCTGTTATGGTGGTAATCATGTCCATTTGTTTGTCCATTCTGATATGAGCATTCTACGGAAGGGGAAACAAATAAACAAACCAACATGCTGATAAAGCGCGCGTAAACTGACAAAACATGCTAGTGATTTATACAAAAGAGATAGGGATCTCGCAAGTTACACGGTCAAATTGCAAGGGTTCCTGAGCAGCTAGTTGTAGGTGATCGTTTGCGACTGTTCACGAAGCGAGACTGCAAAATTGCAGTTTTGCTGAGAACGGCGATTCGTGCAGTTCATCGGAACCATTACAGAGGGGGTTCGGTGAAAAACGTTTCCGAGCTGTCTTTTTTCTTTTTTATCAACCAATTTTTCAAACCTAATATTCAGATACTCATTCTAAGATGAAAGCATTCCCTGATGTCGCACCGGAAAGCTGCTCTATTTTTAGCCACGAACCATAGAGAAAATCAACGTGATATAAAATATTTTCACAGACTGCTAATCGTCTCCGACCCCAAAATCCGTCGAGCGGAAGAAAGGAGGGGATCGAGGGGAAAAGGACCGACGACTAGGGAGTACAGGCCTGAAACGGTTGACTATCAAAAAAAAGTTGTTCAGATCCGAACACCCGAGCGCCTCCATGACCCATACGACGCCCAAAACAGATTTCACATCCAACGTATACAATTTGCAACACACTCCCCAAACCACTATTGTTCCAGAGTCCTCGTCATTCT